TTTTTAGTAGCAGGTTTTCCCTTCTTTAGGTGAACGCGCTCTAGCGTTTTCTTAACGTACAAAAAGTTTGCTGGTGACTCACTTTGTTAATTTTTTTTATTTTTATTATTTTTTATTTTTTTTTTTTATACTGGGTTACCACGACAGCCTACTTAGCCTAGTCGCAGGGGCCACCCACTCACTACCTATGTGTGGGGGTGTATTGCCACACCCATCTCTAAACCTTTTTCCTCGCATCCTACCTGAAACCATGGGCACAGTGTGAGTATCTTTGGTGGAACACCTTGCCAGTTAAGCTGACACTCTCTGCACCGATGGTGCATCAGATCCACTCACCACTGTGTAGCCTTTCCCCGGAGAAGACTCCATTATTCCAGGACCTCCACTCCTCGCCGGATAAGCTGGCGCTCTCTGCCGAAGCATCGGATCCAGGCTAATTAGCATTCCCGTAGAAGCCCCGTGTTTCAGGGGCCACTCCTCGCCGGTAAGGCCGGCAATCCCTCCCCGACGCCTGGCATCGGGTCCACTAATCCCTACCTATATCCCTAACACTGTTTCGCATTCACCCAGGCCCGAAAACCTGTGGGGTAAGTAAAAAACCCTGGAATGACTCTGAAGGAAAATTCCATGGAAGAACCCGCCCCTAAACAGCCAGGGTTACATAGGAACTTTTCCCGATGAAAACAGTTTTTGAAAAAATCTGCATTCACTGGTAATCGAACCCACGTTCCCTAGAACTGCGTTGTATCAGTAACAAGCACGCTTACCACTTAGACAACGCCGCTCCTCTAACTTTGTTTATTGTTAAGTGCTCGTTTTTTAATTGCAGCAATACTTCGTTTTTTTTTCTAAATTATTTTTTATCCTTTAAACTTTGTTAACGATAAAATTTTTCTGTAGCTAATTTTAGTTACAAATAATACTTATATAATTTTGTGTAAATCTTTCAGTTTTTCAGTTCCACATTTCTTATGATTAAAATATCTGTTTAATTTTGTATCAGTTAGCTATCATTAAGTCACTGTTAACTATCTTGAACGAACGCTTTTTTAGTATTAGTAATTTTAGTATGAACGTTCTTAGTCACTTACCGCTAGTGATTTTCTTTATTTGTGAGAGGTCGTGTTTTTTAGTATTGTCTATTGGTGCTTATATAGACGTAGTATAATATGTTAGCAAACAAGCTAATTTTAACAAAGCGTTTGGAATAACTATCTGATGATAATTGCATTCAATTTTTATTTGACAACAACTACAAAAATGGGTAATATTGTATTATAAGTAAATGTTGATTAATTGTAACTATTTTTGTTTTTTTTCAAAGACTATGCAACAGTTAATAATCAAAGAGCATACAATTACTTTCACAAAAGATTTAAGTTTCTCAATAATAACTATACATTAAAAACATATGTGTTATAAAAATCAGTAAGACATTAATATACATGTTATTATGGAGCATGAAGACTAACACATTTCTAAGTGGGTAAGAACGAATATAAGAATATCAAAAAGGTTTAACAGCTAATACTTTGAGAACTTTTGAAATAGCGTTTTAAAGATAATTGAAAAATAAATAATAAGCTCAAGTAATAAATGAATTCTTTTTCTCGTTGTTGGTATGTATCTATTATAGGTTCCTTTAACATTTGAATACATAATATATGTAAATGGTCAAGATTTTATTAAAACAACTCAAGAAACGATAAAAATGATTGGTACTTTTACTGTGTTATGATAGATTTGATATTTTTAGTTTTAGAAAGAAAAAAGATTTGTGGAAAATAAGATATTAAGTGTTTGACTAATGAAGACAAATTTCTAACTAGGTAGGGCTGATTCTACTGACTGAAATGTTGTCACCACGTTTTTGAAAAATATGCTTATGAAAGCTTAAGATGTGAAGGGTGCAGCTGCATTTTTTCAACAAACAAAAAAAACTTGATGCCTGGAGAAGAAAAAGGAATTATTGGAAATAGAAGAGCAATACTTGAATTTTGAGACCTGGACGCTATTATCAATGAAATAAAGATTTATTAGGCTCGCGCAAGGGAATTTGGATAATAAAGCCAACACTTGCAGGTAACTTGATAATATCTGAACAGAAGATGACAAAGATTGGGATTAGTACCCTTAGAGAAATCTGTCGATTAAAAAGTATGAAATGAAGAAAAAATAAAAGTTAGTTTCATAAGTTATCTATTACTGGAAAAAAAGTGCAGTGCACCACAGTGTTTTATCTGTACAACGTATAATACTGAGTACAAAGCTAGCAGTTAAAGCTATCTAACGTTTAGACGAGCCTGGATGAGTCTAAAACAATAGCCTAATCTAGGCTACATTCAGGAATTGACGTGGGTGAGCTGGTGTTCGA